GTTCCTAGGGGTTTACCCCAAGCTTTTGGGGGCTTTTTTTTTTTTTTTTAAGAGGTTTTTGCTATAGGGCATGTGAGCTCACCAGAAAGACAGACAGAAAGAGAGAAATCACTTCCCAGGGGGGATGGCCACACCGCAGTCCCTTCTTCATTCTCTTCTCGGAATCTTGGGCATGCACGCACGTGTGCCCAGTGTGAGCTTAAGCCACCGGGTCTGTGACTCAAACCACGGTTGACTACATGGGAGTCCGACGACATAGCCATTACACCAACTGCTAGTCCCAGGAGGCATTTTTTAAAAGTATATATTTACCAACTTCCCAGATAAAACTGCAACTCCCTTCATATTTTTTTCCAGTTTGAAAAGATCCAAAAGCTGACTGGTGTCTCTCACACGCCTGTCCCTGCACCTGACTTCCTGTTTGAAATTGAGTACTTCGATCCAGCCAACACCAAATTTTATGAGACCAAAGGAGAACGAGACCTGATTTATGCCTTCCATGGTAGCCGCCTAGAAAATTTCCATTCCATCGTCCACAACGGCCTACACTGCCACCTGAACAAGGTGGGCCTCAGGGGCACCTGCTGAGGGGAGCAGTGGGGTAGGGGGTAGTATCAGAACCCTGGGGTGTTTGATGGTTGGGAGTGGAGTGGGGTAGGTGGGCTTACTAAGGCCTTGCCACTCAAAGTGGGGTGTGTGCAGACCAGCAGGCTCAGCATCGCCAGGAGCCTGGGAAAATGCAGACTCTTGGGCCCACTGAGACCCTCTGAACAAGACCTTGTGTTGTTTTTTCTTTTACATTTTTTGCTATAGGGCATGTATGCTTAGGAAAGAGACAGAGAAAGAGAGGGAAAATGAGAGATCACTCCCTTGGGGGGATGGACACGCCACAGTCCTCTCTCCATTCTCCTCTTGGGATTTTGGGTACTCACACACACATGCTTAGCATGATTTTCTTTCTTCTTCTTCTTTCTTTCTTTCTTTCTTTTTAAGAATTACTTAATTTAATTTGTTATTATTATTATTTCAATTTGACCAGAGAGAGAGAAGGGAAAGTGAGAAAGCAAGTTACTAGGTCTAGGACTTGAACTGTGGTCAGCCATGTGGGAGTCCAGCACCTTAACCACCGTGCTGGCCCTCCAGGGTGATTTTCTTTCCTTTTTTTTTTTGAGAGATTTTTGTAGGATATGTGTACTCACCAGAGAGACAGAAAGCAAGAAATTACCTTCCAAGGGGATGACCACACCATAATTCCTCCTCCGGTGTTCTCCTGGGATCTGGGACATGCATGCACACACACCTGGTGTGAATTTCAAGCTATGAGTTCTGGGACTTGAACTGCGCAGTTTTCCATGTGAGGGTCCAGCATCTTAATCTCCATGCCACCTGCTGTGCTGATTACAGTTTGAGAAGAATCAATTTAATGTGAGCTGCATATTTAGAATCACTGGGAAAGTCTTTTAGAAATCCTGAGGCCTGGTTGCATTCCATGTCAATTAAATCAGAATCTCTGGAAGTGGGACCCAGACATTAATATGCTTTAAAAGCTCTCCAGGCTATCCAGTGTGTGACCAGCCCTAGCTACTCAGTGTATTCTTTGGACTGGTGGCATCCATGTCACCTGGGAACAGGCACATTTGCTTAAACCCTCTGAGCCTTAATTTCCTCATCTATAAAATAGGACCCCTTTGATCTCCTTTTGGTGTGTGAGTGAACTGCAGTAGTTCATGAATGTAGAATGTACAAAGCACCCAGGAAGCGGTGGCTGCTTTCATAGGCTGGTGGAGAGGGCATCCACGGTAGATGGAGGCCTGCGGGCCTGCCTGGTAGTTGTGGCATCATCTGCCCTGTCTGCGAGGGCTGGCTCCATGAGCCACCCGCTTAGTCACGGCTGCCAGAGCCCTGAGGCCAGAGAGTCCTTTCTCAACACTGCTGCATCTGATTAGCGCCTGTTGGGTTTTGCAGCGGATGACGGGTTTGTTTATGTTGGCTCTTGGGTAACTATTATGGCCAGGCTACTGGAATCCAGGGGGCCTCAGCTTTCCACCAGAGCTGTCCTGGAGAGGCTGCCTGCACGTTAGTCTTCTGCACCAGGCCTTTTGTCTCAGTGCCCCAGGGAGCTGACTGCTCGCAGGCATCTTACGAGAGCCCTTTGGTAGATGGAACAGATCCTCTTCTGGCTGCCTCTTCCTGGCTTCTCAGTGATGGCCTTGCCTGAAGGAGCCCACCAGCCACTTGAAGCTATGAGATTGTTTTCACAGTGGAGATACCCTAGTCTTCCCACTCGTGTGCACCTCTGCTTCCAGCACCTTGAACAAGATTCTTGAGTCTAGGGAAGGGTGAACATGTGACAGGCAGAAAAGGAGAATGCATATGGGTCAGGTCAGGGGGCGCCCAGTGTCCTTGGAGAGGGTCTGTGACATCTTATGAGAGGTGGGAATGTTGCCTAACCAGGCAAAGGGCTTCCCAAAGGCCCAGCAAAGGTTATTTCATTTCCCCTAAGCTTCACTTTACATTAGGCTTTGAATTGTGGACGCCTGGTGCTACTGAATGGGACATTCCCCAATCCCAGAGCATAGGATTTACTTTGGTGAGCTGTTCGAGTCTGCTCATCTCTTGAGTTACTGATACTCAGGCCCAGGGATAGCCATGGAGCTTCAGCTCAAATGTCAAAGGCCATCCATTGGTAGCAGCTACTTGGAACATTATGTTAAGAAGGAGTCTGAGTTAGTATGAGTGACTGCTATGACTGTGTTGGCCGTTGTGGTTGATTGTTGATGTCTGCCATGGGCCAAGGCTGTGTTGCTAGGCCTGCAGTAGCCTCCACCTGCAGGTCCTTCACCTGGGATGCTTCCTCATGGAGGGTACCAAATTAGCACCACCATCAGGGACTGCCTTCTAGACTCTTGTACACTTTCTTGGCC